AATTATATTCCAATTATTCATTTAAATTTGACATTGGTTACGCCTAGAAATTGATACAGCGGGGAGATATTGGAACACTTATTAGGAATCAAAAATCTGGAAAATATGGAGAGAAACTATCAGTTCCAGCCAAAAAAAGTTATATACCAATTGTAAATGACAAAGCACCAAAAATACCAGCATATTTATTAGGAAAAGTAAATTTTATTCTGCATTGTTTTATATTCAAAAAGTATATAAGTAGCCTAAACATATTTTTTGACTTAACGTAGATTTTTTAAATAAATTAACTAAAATTTATCCTATAATTTAATATGTTCTTATGATTCATTAAGAGTTTTCATAAGAATCACTTGCATCGCAACAAATGCGATGAAAAAAAGCAACCCATAGAAGTATCTTCCAATGATAATGGTGGCTCTAATATAGAAAGTAAATTATCCGAAGAACATGATGAAGTCATTAAAAGTACATAAAAAATTTAAACTACATTTCGATTATTGCAACAATCATTTTACACTTTAAACTCTTAATACTTAAAGAATTAGAAGCTAATAATGAACCTTCAAATGACGTTACAATACCTGAAGTGTCTACTGATAAAGTAAAAGAAACACTAGAAGAAAAAATAATTCATTTAGAACCCGCAAAATGTGGAGCAAAAGAGCAATTACAAGAGTTATCCTCTTCTGAAAGTTCAAATTTAAAAAGAAAGTTATCCGATAAAGATGAAAAAATCATAAAAAGTACACAATAATTTTTTTTATAAATATTAGCTTGCATTTTATGTTTATTGAAATTATTTTCTTATATTTTAAAACATAAATGCTTTTAGAGGCAAAAATTAGTTCTGAATTTTTACATGCGACAACGTCAAATGATGTTACATTACCAAAAGTGTCTACTGATAAAGTAAAAGAAACTCCAGAAGACAAAATAAGTCATTTAGAACCCACAAAATGTGGAGCAAAAGAGCAACTACAAGAGTTATCCTCTTCTGAAAGCCCCAATTTAAAAAGAAAATCATCCGAAAAAGATGAGAA